TTTCAATTTGCTCCAGCTGCTTGTTTGAAAATACGTTGTTTTTGATCCATAAATTAAACATTGAATTTGCAGTGCTTAGAAATAGATTGTGCATAGGATCAATAGTGAAAAATCGAATTCCATTAAAGTACTCTAGATCAAGAAGTATTAAGTAATGAGTATTACCATGATTGCGTCCAAATTCTTTTTTCTTAGACTGAGTTTTGAAATTTTCTAATTTCTTTGCTAAGAGGCGGTGATGATTATTTCTTCTTGGTGACCAATTTTCCCTGTCAAACCCAGAATAGTCTCTATTTTCTCCCAATGCACCAGAAAAAGACTTAAGACGACGAGAGCAACCAATGATTGCTGAGTGGATTTTGAAACTTCCTAATTTTCTTGCTGCAGGAACATCTGAAGAAACAGCTAAAATTGCTCCTCTAAAGAAACGACTATACCTGAGCAAAGCTGACTTTAGCTTCACCCCTCTCCATAACCACTGCATCTCCTTAACTGCAGGCTCGAGAAAGGGATTTAATTTTTTTGGTTCTTTATCCAGGGAGGGTACAATCCTGTAACGTCTTGGGGTTGTCTCGTGAAGTAAATATTATAACCAGAGAGTGAGACTATACATTTTGAACTACTCCATTCCTTTAATCGGTTCTCTCTTTAAAATCACACGTAAATACCTCAACTTGATTGGTCCGTGAGATCACGTGACACCTTTCCTTTTGTAACAAAAAAAATTACTAATACACTAAAAATGGAGATAAATGACTGTATGAAACAAAATAGAATGTTGGGTCAAATATTTTGAATCTAATTGAATTAACTCAGCAAAATGTTCAATGTTCACTTTTCGTTATAAGTAAAGGGCTCCCAAAAGACTACATTTCACTCTAAAACGGGGATGCTTATTGAGTAAAATACTAGGTAAACACGAAATAATAATGCTATAGAAGGTTGAAGCGCTTCAATTTCGCCGACGTTGTCGCCCACGTTGACGTCCTGCAGCTTAAGGTCCCTAATACTGCGATTCATCGCTGCCGTCGCGTTGTTGAAGCTATCAATACCACTGGTGCTCTAATCGTGTTCCTTCCAGCTTATAGTCCAGATTCTAACCCGTGCGAAAACATTTTTTCTCGAGCAAAGAGTTGGGTTCGAGCTAATGATGTTGTGTGGCAAGTGTGTCACAGAGGAAATGGTTTTTGAGGCCTTTATACAAGTTTCTGATGTATGCATCAGAAACTATTTACGATTTATCGGGTATTTATAAAATCCATTCTAACTTATTATCTTGACAGTTTTCTCAATATGCTGTAGACTACGACACAAGATATCTCAAAGTGCAAAGCCTTTTAATTATGAAGTTTTACAACAGGCGATACTCTATAATTAATTTGTAATACTTATATTATGATGGTTGTAGCTTAGCTTGACTTAGCTTGACTACAAGTCAGTCCTTATAATACTATGCGAATAAAAGCACGCAATAAAATAAAACCTTCTGAGTAATAAATTACATCATTGCTCGGTTCAGTTAGTTTTTTTGCGGTCCTCCAACATCTTCTTTTTATCCTCTTGAAACTCCTCGTTGCTAATGACATCGCCATCCCTCAAGTTCTTCAGCTCAACTAGTTGGCCAAGAATCAGTCCTCGTGCTTTGATCTATAATAGTGAAAACAGAGAAAGCCGCGTTTCATTTATCAAAAAATGTAGAACAAGAACTTTTTAAAATGAAGTAAC